CTCAATTTGTACTTCGTTCAGTTACGTATTGCTATAAACCATTAAATGTCGGACTAAAAGACGAAATCGTGTGTTTATGCAACTCTAAATATAAATATTTGTTGGCCTCTGCTCAATATGATAAAAAACGGCGTCAGCGATAGTTTATAAATGAAATCGCTGTCATTTTATATGTAAAATTATATGGGCAATGTCATCGATGTTCATTTCAAGCCAACTGGATGTATTTACTTTCGATCATACGGTATTATATACTATTTATTATATGATTATTAAATCAGAATTAAGTAAACAAAATAATAAATTTGTATTAAGAAGTCTTTAATAATAGTATATGAATTGGATTGATAATTTAATATTATTTGTAAAATAATCAATCAATTACGCTAATAGTATCATAAAGTGTTGAAAACCAAATGAAAGAACTATATATTTCTTTTCTGGTCCTTTGAGTAATTGTCCGGCCAAATTATCACCGGTAGTGCCAGTTAAGATTTTGTATTTATGAAAACATAAATTATTGCATGTGGTTTGTTCAAATGAACGAATCATAGGAGTCGATTCAATATGATAAATTGAATCGTGTGACTCGATTTACTAAAAAGAATTGTAATGCCCATCACTACTTTGATACTGTGTGCTCGCATGAATAAATCTTTTTTGTTGGGAACCACATATGTAATGTTGATATTACTGATTTTTTAAAATGTTGAAAGTGCCACGTAGGACCTTCTTGTACCTTTCCTTTTCAATATCACTCAACGGCTTCAAACAGCCACTACACTATGCGGAGAACTCTTCGAAACAGGTCGAGGTCGCGTTTCATCGCCCATGCGACAAAGTTGCATTTTGGTTTATTTCCAGTTGTCTTGGCCCACTTAGGTTTGCCTCGACCTACTTTCGATTCTTAAAAGCGCCTGAAAACTAGTCCTGAGGAGGGCGTGGAGGGATTTTTTGTCGGTTCCTGTTGCCTCGTTCAATTTTATTTCGTTTTGAGCTATTTCCAAAACGTGTCGGTATCTGTACCCAAGGCAAAGGACTTTTTTTCATAAATCTCAGTGGAATGAGTAGTAAACCTAGACGTTTCTAAAATAGCTGTTGTTACGATGATATTTCGTTAATTACATCTCGTGTTATGTTGATATATATTCCACAAGATTAATATTTGAACACGCGTTAATAATATGTATAGTGAATATTTAAGAACAAAACTTTTCACTCAATCTCAAGGAATATAATTACCATAATATGTTTATTATTTAATTTTATTATAATGAATTATTATATAGAATTGTATAAACTTGTTTATAGCGCGAATAATAAATTACAATAACTACTAGATTTATAATTAATTAAATAATCCTAGAGATAAAACGTCTGTTTAGTTTTCTGTTACCTCTCTGTGTTTACTTGTCTGAATAGTTTTTATGTTTTGTATGCTTATACTCGAAAAATAAATGTTTTTATAAAGCGTTAGGATTGTAATTTGAGAGGCAAATATTTAATATATTTACTTCAACAATTTTTACTTAACATACCTAATTACACCGTATTATCATACTCACCCTTGTAATGTTTAATCTTTGCCAAGACGGCTGGCTCCAAGTAATGGATAGTTAGAGACACCCTTCTTTTTATGCGAAAGTTTTGTCGCTACCATGTGATTACTTGTTTTACTGCGAAGGAAGTAGTAGGGTGAATAATTTTAAACACACAGAAATACTGCACATAACAGAATGAAACATATTATTTTTTAGCACACACTGTTAGAATTTTAATGAACTTTTGCCGTTAAAACGGTTCCGCTCGTGTGTATGACGAAAGGGTAAAATCTTGGAAAATTGTTAATTTTAGGTGAAAGACAAAGAAAACAAAAGTCACAAAATAATTTACGT